CTCACCCGCCAGCTCAGTGCTCCCTCTGTGGCCGATTAGGTTGACTTCTCCCCACATATTTCAAGGCCTCCTCCTGGTGTTTCTGTCATGTGTAGATAGGCTTCTTCGCTGAGATCCTGCCCACGTACTCCCTGCCCACATAGAGGCCCTTTACTTGGGATCATTAAACAAAGAGGGAGCAGGCTGCGAAGACAGACATGCCAGAGCCAGAGCAGGCAGAGATAGTGAGCAGTGGAAAGAAACCAGGAAAAGGCCTTGTCTTCCAGAGCCTGGGTCCAGAGTGGGTAAAGCAGAGCCCATACCCAGCAGCTGGTTCCCCCTGGATGGTTTCAGACATGGGCTCTCACAGGTAAGCCAAGAGGGTCCAGGATCTCCCTGTCACTGGAAAGCTAAAGAAGCCACAGGAAGGCTCACCCAGGAAGCCACCAGAGAGAGCTCCTGTGAGAGCACATGTGAGTTACTAGCCTCCAGGCCCTATGGGACCTCCCGGTACATGGCAGGCCAAGGACAGCAGGCCGAGGTGCTGAAACTGGAAGGCAATGCCAGAGAGGGCCTGTGTTCTGGGTGAGAAGTACAAGGGATTTTCAAGCTGTAGAGGACGGTAGTCCTGAATGCTCACAGGTATTCAGTGCTGCTATTTATTCCCAATAGGGCTGCCTCAGGCTTGTCAGGACTTCCTCTGTAATGTTGCTCAGCATCACCACTGCTACAATTCAGTCTTTGTTAACAAATCTGAACAAGGATTTTCACACACTAGTCAAGACCACAATTCTATCCCTAAAATTCCATTTCTCTCGGTTTTCTCTAGCTCCGCAAGGCCAGGCAATCCTGAGGCTTGGGAGGGAGCTGGAAGGAGAGCCCTGTGGAAGGGAGCAGGGGACAGGAGAGCCCCATGCCCTCTGCTGGCTAGGCCTGGCATTGCGAGTAACGCGCAGACGGCCAGGGCCAAGCAGGGCCAATAGCCTGTGGCCCAGGGCCCTCAAAGTCACCCCAGCTGCTAGAGGAATAGGATTATGATTATAGCTACTATTCATTATCAATCAGTTGCTACCTGTCAGGCACTGGTAGGCAGTTTACATTCATTATCTAACTTGCATTTTAATTCTCCAAGCATTTCTTTCAACAACCCAGAAAGACTTTGTAGGAGACTGAGAGTCCCGCAGCTAATAAGTGATGTTTGAGAATGAACATTTGACTCTGATTGGCTCCAAGATGTTTCCCAGTTACTGTGCTTTTAGGCCAGCCTAATACTCCCTATGCCTCTGAACCCAGCTCCAACCGGGCCTGACCCTCGATCTCTGATCCTAGCCTCAAGCCAAACCCTAGCTTCAGCCTCAAGTTATGATCCATCCACCCACCTTGCTTTCTGCTCCTGGCTCCTAGTGTTTGCATTAGATCTTTCCCTGGGTTGTATAGCCCTTCTCCTGATGAATCTGATTTTCTCCGCAGCTTGATACTTTATTTCCATCTGTCTTTGGGGCTAGCAGCCAAACCTCAGAACGAAAAGGGTAAAGTGGGGGAGGGCCCAAGAAGCTTCTGTAGGGGAGTAGCTTACTGGGAACAGTGAGGAGGAGTGTACATCGCAAATCTTAGCCAGGCAGAGGCAGCCTGAGTTTGGTGACCCAAGGAGAGAAGTGGGCCCTAGGTCCTGTCGGAGGGAGACAGCTCAGCCAGAAGCGCTGGGCTTTCAGCAGGAGGGCCCATGGACAGTTCTTGACATCCTCTAGGGATGTAGCAGTGATGTGGAAAGTCCTGCCCTCCTTCCCCGCTGCACATGTGCAGATGGGAGAGCTGGAACTGGCAGGCAGCTCTCCCCTAGAGCACTGGGTGGTCCCTGGTCTTTGGCTGCAGAGATCACACATCAACCAAGCCCAGCACACTGGGCAGGCTTGCTGGTGATTCACAAGATTTGCTTCACATGACTGGCTTCTTTCCCCCTGGTTACCACTGTTACTGCTTGCAACAGTCATATTCAGGAAAGGAAGGAGTTTGCCTGGCCTCAGCTTCAGCTAAGGTAGTTCCATTTCTTATCTCCCTAAAAGAAACAGCAAGACAGACCTAGGTTTCCTTCCATGTGACTTAGGAACCCAGTGATATTGGGTAAGTTATTTAATCTCCCAGAGCCTTGTTTCTCTCATTTCAAAATGGGATAATAATAGCATCTTTTTCATATACTTGTAAGGATTAATTGAGACAATGCACTTAGCTCGGGACGTGGCATAAAAGAGCATCTCAATACATCATATCTAATATTTTTAGTTGCTCTGTGGGCTTCAGTTTCCTGACTTGGAAAAGTGAGCATGATAATAATTTAAATTTCTTAACACTGTCATAAGAGGTAATGTGTAAGGTAGTTATGAATGATTCCATAACACGTATGTAAAAAATTGGGTATTTCTTTGATTTTCTAAATCAGACAATTCTCATCTAAGCTTTTAACCACCTACCTTATGGAAGATTTAATCTCACTTGTGTTTTGTGGCTTTCTATCCCCTCTCTTTCCCCCAGTTTAGCATCTTACAAAAGTTTCTGGGTGTTTAATATTGAACAGAATATCTGGTATGGAGGGTGGGGATGGGGGGAGGCCTGGGCCTTCAGACTGTGCTAAGTACGGTTTGTACATTGTTCAAGCCTGTGCTTCCCCTAAGGGGTGCTGCTGAGATTCCACTGCCTGTTTGAGTGTAAGTGATCATTCTCCAGTTTACAGAGATTCAATGTGTGTGGCTGCCCTGCTTTCCTCCCCAGAAACTATGTGATAGGTAGAATTTTGTCTCCCATTACATGTGCCTTCTGGTGTTTTCCCCTTGATTATGGCAAAAGGGACTTCGCAGATAGAATGAAGATTAATAATCAGCTAACCTTAAAATATATTATCCTGGATTATCTGAATGGGATTACCTAATCACATAAGCCCTAAAAGGCAGAGATCTTTCTCAGCCTTGTAATAGAAGGGGGAATAAGGGATTTGAAGAATGAGAAAGATTTAACATGCCTTTGTTAGTCTGAAGATGAAGGGACCACATGTAAAGGAAATAAGGACCCCAGTCCTATAACCAAAAGGAATTGAAGTCTTCTGACAACCTGTATGATCTTGGAAGCTGAATCCTGCAGCACCTCCAGAAAAGAGCCCAGCCCAGCTGACACTTTGATTTTGGCCTTGGGAGGCTCTGGAGAGAGGGCTCAGTTGAGCCACACTGTGAGGGGATTTTGTACAGAACTGTGAGATGATACATGGGTGCTGTTTTAAGCTGTTAAATTTGTGGTGATACAAATAGCAATTACTGTGGTAATTACAGTAGCAAAAGAAAAGTAATGTAATGCTCAAGAATTCCATTCCTTTTCTTAGTCCTGGGGAATCTCTCCTTAGGTTTAGAAGCTTCTTTGTCAACTGTAAGCCTTCATAGACAACTGGGAGCCTTGGTTTCCCACAAACAAAAGCGAGGACAGGGAGTTTCTGAAAATTTCTATTTTTGATGCTGCAATTCAAAAAGTTTTAAGTCTAGGGATATAAAGATTTACTTTCTTATGAAGGGAGGAAGGATAAAATGAACAAAACCCAAATAGTCTCTCAATGAACTTTCCTGCCACGTATGTATTTAGCCTAGTACTTAATACACAGTAACTAATATTCTTTAGACCAAAAAATTACTTTATTATTACTTTTCTTTTTTCCAGAAACTTAAAATTGTGTTCCCTTCTGCCCATTTTGACCAGACTCTATCCAGCTTGATCCCAAATTGTCAAAACATGTCTTTCATGCAATGATGGAAATCACTCCACAACTGGAGTTACTGGTATTCAGGCAGTCTTCTGGTGTGGCTCTACCATAAGGAATTTGATCTCCTCATTGTGGAACTGCAATAGCAGAGCAAACTGTACATATGGCCCCAAAGCATTTTGTTTCTGCATCCAGGATAGGGAAGATGGCCAATTACCACCTACCTTGTGCTGAAGACCAGGATTCTATGGGGTGGCAGGGGCCACCTGTTCTAAGAGAGCCTTCTCTTGGGACAGGTGCACACATTGTAGTGTGTCAATGTAAATCTTATTCTTAGCTCCCTATATCCATCAGGTTCCACCAAAATGGCCTTTATAACATACCTACCCATTACATCTCAATATGATTTGAGAGCACAGATGGTAGGAAAACCTCCTGAATAAGAAACTAACACACATCTTCCTCCAGCACTGGACCTGTGTCTGCTTCAACTTCCATTTCTTTGGTTGCCAAATATATATTTGGGTACCTACTATGTGCCAGGCTACTAAAGTTTAGGCTTTAAGGATACAGAAGGAACAAGACAGACCCAGTGCCAGCCCTACAGATCTCTCATTTTTGTGAGGAGGAGATCACAAAATAAACACATATTTTAAAATGATTTAATATGCAATGATCCTTGTAGTCTCTACTAACACCTTGACTCCAGCCACAGCGTCGGTTCCTATGGCTACTGAAGAAAGTTTTATTTCAAGGCCTGCATGTCTGAATGCATCTGTGTTACCTGCATCCATCATATCTAAAAGGGTGGTCAACTTTGAGGACACCAACAGTTCTGGGTGAATGTCTCCATAACTACACAGATCCTCCCACATATCCTGCCCTCACAGCACTGAGGGTCCTACCGTACCCTATACTGTCTTGTGGCACTTGTAATAATCATTCTCAATATTCTCTAACTAATGCTTCGGCATCTTGAAATCATGAACCAAACTAATAGCCACAGTTGTTTACATCTCTTCTGTGGTCCAGCTTTCACAGGTGCTTGAAAGTCATATTACAAACCCTTTAACCAAGTTCCAAATTCTGTTTCACTTCGTACCCAGTAGGGAATGTCCCCACCTAAAAACTATCCACCTCTATAGTAACAAAGGCTTGTTGCCCCTGTTTTCCCCTTGTTCCTTCTGTCTTCTGACCAACCTGGTGCTTCCCTGTGTGGCCCTGCATGGTGCAATGTTCACCCTCCTCTGTGGACTGTAGGTAATAAATTCTTTCAATGGCATTGACCTCTCTGTGTTGTCACTCAGTCATACTGACAAATTAAATCTGAGATACATTTTAAAACACCACCTGGCACAGCTCAGGCCCAAAGTCTGGTCAGGCTCGGGAGGAGGTAAAGTTGTGACCAAGGTGAATATGATTCAGAAATGACATCAGACTCCTCCCTATAGACCCCAGAACACCTTCTCTGTCCTAAAGCTGCAGACTTCCTTCTAAGTATGCCAAATTACTCCAAGTCTCTCCAAACACTCATCTCCAGTTATCTTCAGCCATGACATTCCACACCTCCTAGTGTCTATTCTCTACCCTTTCTTTTGGAATACTGTACAGAGAAAGGGGGGCTGGCTTTCTGGCAGCACCAAGGCCAGCACCAATGACTGGCATAGTAGGACAGAGCCAGGTGAGTGGTCCTGGGAACTAGTCTCCCCTTGGAATCAGTCCTGAACACAATATTGCCCTGCTCCAGGCTCCAGGGCTGGGCCAGAGGGAGGGAAAATGAGCAGAGGTATCTTCCCTGGCCCATTAAGATCAGAGACCTCAGAGATCACAAAGTCAAGGGTACATATGCTGGTATGAGATGCAGTGGTCAGTGTGTGTATGTGAATATATGAATCTTTGAAGAATTGTGCACACTTACAGCAGTGTAATGCATAAACCTGCTTCACCTTGGCTTAGTATTGATTCTCAACTCAGTCAGTACCCCAGCCTCTTTGAGTCCAACCTACCAGCTACTACACAGCCCATGCCCCTTGCCCCTGACTCAGAATTTAGACATTGGCTTTGCCTTTTCCCATCAGCCCCATAAATGCTTAGTGAGGAGGCAAATACTTTATTGAAGTGCAACTTGCAGGGTACACTCGTGAACCTCCCATTTAAGGGGCACTTAAAGGACATCTTAGAACAAGAGGGCCCTGGGTGTGTTTTTGTGTGTTCACCTCTGTGTGTCTGTTGGTGTGTGACTGTCATTATGTGTGTGTTTATCAGGTACATGACTGAATGTGTATATTATGTGCCTATAGAACATACCTATGGGAGAAAGCATGTGTGATCTGAGAATGGGAACTCCAGAGCATTTTATATAGAGCACACAGTCTTGGGATCAGTATGTGTATGTGCAACTGTGTGTGTGTCTGTGCTGGTGAATGGGGATGAATATGTGCTGTACTCTTACATTTCTAGATGGGCATCTATAGACCCAATTCACTCTATCACTGCTATCTAGTGGATAAGATGGCAGAGTTTCTGCAGGTAGGATTTCCTACAACTCTGGATTCACTTGGGGGTGGGAGTCCCAGAGATAGGAATGGGGTCACTCTGGGCCTGGAAGTCCCTCCTGGTCAGCCCTGCCTTCCCTTGGAAGTTCCCTCCCCAGGCTCGTCCTCATCGTCAGCCTCAGCCAGTTCCTCAGGCATTGGCCACTCTCGTGTCTGCCACTCTAGCCGTTCGATGCGATAAGCGATCTTAAGTGCGCTGGACTCCAGCTCAGCCAAGAGGCGGGCGAACTTGGTCTGCAGATCATCGAGTTGATTGTCCAGACCTTGTAGCCGGGACTCCGTGGCCTCCTGGAGGGCTATCTCAGCTGCCTCAGCATTTACATCCAACTTGTTCATTTTGAGCAGGATCTCACGGCCCTTTTCTTCCATGACCGTCTGGGCCTGTGGGTACTCGCTCAGCACTTCCCGCAGGTCCTCCTTGCTCAGGCAAAACAGGTCTGAGTAACCTAGACTCTTGATGTTGGCTGTGCGGCGGTTCCCGGACATGTTTCCTGTGGCCCGTGGGCAGATACATGGGAGGACAGTCAGGGTGGGTGTGAGGGGCATTTCACAATTGAACCAGGACCCCACCTCCATAATTGTGCTTCTGACCCTTTCTTTCTGGCTCATTAATTCTTTCATTCCTTGATATACTGGGGACTAGGCCTTGTGCTTGGTGGGGATCAGTTACGTGCCTCCAAGCAGTCAGTGTAGAGAGAGATAGTTAATCAGATAGTTATGTAACAGAATATCTGGTGCAGTGTAGATGTGTGCATCCGGTACTGTGGGAAGGCAGGCAAAGAGCCCGTAACAAGCTGTAAGGCAGTGTTTAGGGAAGTGACGCCTGAATGAGAGGAGGTGAGGGCAAGGGGCATCTAGGAAGAGCAAGGAGCAAGAGCAGAGAGAAGGATGTAGGAGAGAGTTAGGTGGGTGCAGAAAGCACTAAGCAGTCCAGAGTGGCTAAAGTGGGGTGCGAGGAGACTAGGAAGAGGAGAGAGCTGGGTCACACTGGCTCTTGTAAGCCATGGCAGGGAGTTCAGACCTTATGCTGAGGGCAGTGGGTTGTGTTCACCTCTGTGTGTCTGTTGGTGTGTGACTGTCATTATGTGTGTGTTTATCAGGTACATGACTGAATGTGTATATTATGTGCCTATAGAACATACCTATGGGAGAAAGCATGTGTGATCTGAGAATGGGAACTCCAGAGCATTTTATATAGAGCACACAGTCTTGGGATCAGTATGTGTATGTGCAACTGTGTATGTGTCTGTGCTGGTGAATGGGGATGAATATGTGCTGTACTCTTACATTTCTAGATGGGCATCTATAGACCCAATTCACTCTATCACTGCTATCTAGTGGATAAGATGGCAGAGTTTCTGCAGGTAGGATTTCCTACAACTCTGGATTCACTTGGGGGTGGGAGTCCCAGAGATAGGAATGGGGTCACTCTGGGCCTGGAAGTCCCTCCTGGTCAGCCCTGCCTTCCCTTGGAAGTTCCCTCCCCAGGCTCGTCCTCATCGTCAGCCTCAGCCAGTTCCTCAGGCATTGGCCACTCTCGTGTCTGCCACTCTAGCCGTTCGATGCGATAAGCGATCTTAAGTGCGCTGGACTCCAGCTCAGCCAAGAGGCGGGCGAACTTGGTCTGCAGATCATCGAGTTGATTGTCCAGACCTTGTAGCCGGGACTCCGTGGCCTCCTGGAGGGCTATCTCAGCTGCCTCAGCATTTACATCCAACTTGTTCATTTTGAGCAGGATCTCACGGCCCTTTTCTTCCATGACCGTCTGGGCCTGTGGGTACTCGCTCAGCACTTCCCGCAGGTCCTCCTTGCTCAGGCAAAACAGGTCTGAGTAACCTAGACTCTTGATGTTGGCTGTGCGGCGGTTCCCGGACATGTTTCCTGTGGCCCGTGGGCAGATACATGGGAGGACAGTCAGGGTGGGTGTGAGGGGCATTTCACAATTGAACCAGGACCCCACCTCCATAATTGTGCTTCTGACCCTTTCTTTCTGGCTCATTAATTCTTTCATTCCTTGATATACTGGGGACTAGGCCTTGTGCTTGGTGGGGATCAGTTACGTGCCTCCAAGCAGTCAGTGTAGAGAGAGATAGTTAATCAGATAGTTATGTAACAGAGTATCTGGTGCAGTGTAGATGTGTGCATCCGGTACTGTGGGAAGGCAGGCAAAGAGCCCGTAACAAGCTGTAAGGCAGTGTTTAGGGAAGTGACGCCTGAATGAGAGGAGGTGAGGGCAAGGGGCATCTAGGAAGAGCAAGGAGCAAGAGCAGAGAGAAGGATGTAGGAGAGAGTTAGGTGGGTGCAGAAAGCACTAAGCAGTCCAGAGTGGCTAAAGTGGGGTGCGAGGAGACTAGGAAGAGGAGAGAGCTGGGTCACACTGGCTCTTGTAAGCCATGGCAGGGAGTTCAGACCTTATGCTGAGGGCAGTGGGAAATTCCTGAAATATTTTCAGCAGGGAGCTATGTGGTATCATTGCATTTTAGAAAGATATTGGTGGGGAAAAACTAGGCCAAATACCACAAAATCTCAGAGCTAGAAGGGGCAAGGGAGCTATCATTTGTTGAACACTTGCTATATGCCAGGCCCTGCACTGGAAGCCTTACCAGGTAGCTCATATAATCCTCACAGATAACTCTGAGTTTTAGTATCATCCTCATTGAAGGTGTGGAATCTGAGGCCTAAAGAAGGCAAGTAGACACTGGTCCACTGCATGTAGTATGTGAAGCCTGAGGGGTCCTTGGAGGTCAAATGTGAGGCCTTTAGAGCCTCTAGAGAGTGAGATCCCAGGCTGAGAGCGCATCTGGCCTCAGCCAGTGGTGACTGCTCACCCCCTTCCAGGTTTTCTCATTTCTTGGGGCCTCAGCATCTTTTCCTGAGATTACTGCTACTACACAGGCAGTAAGAGGAAAAAAGGCAGTGTACAGTGCCTGGCCTGGCCCGGAGCTGATGGACTCAATGGCAATTCCCTCCTTCTGTCTTCCTTTCCATTTGCTGTGAGAAAATTGTTTCTCATACTGACTCCAAGTGTGTGTACTTACTACCCATGTGACCTTGGACAGCTTCCCAAATCTCTCTGTATTCCAAATTCCTTATGTTTAAAAGGTGGATAATAATTCTAACTTCATAGAGTTGCTGTGAGACTTTAATGAGTTGGTACATGTGAAACACTTAGAACACTTAAAACAGGGTGTGTTGTAACTATGCAATAAATATTAACTATTATAATAATTGCTGTCTCTGTCACTTTCCACTGGTCTGCTGGTGCCTCTGGTTGCTACCCACAGAGGAGGTCTACTTTCTCTTCCAAGGGCTCACCCTGCTCATTGACCTTAGCTCAGTTTCTCAGGGAACAGACCCTCCAGGTCCTGCTTCTCTCCTGAGCTGTCTAAGGACTCAGACCTGAGTCTGTAGGACCCAAAGAACCATCTGGTCTCAGTACAGGGTTCTGCTGTCCCCATCCCCTCCACCCATTTGTCCCAGGAACAAATGTTGGGGTTCTCACCTTTGATGTTGATGATGCTGATCTCCCCAAAGTAGAGCCCTGCCCCAAGCACGGCATACTGTGTGACACCATCATCAGCCACCACTGCCAGCTGACCCTCACGGATGATGTACATCTCTCGGCCAATGTCACCCTTGCGGCAGACATATTCGCCTGGTGAGTAGGTCTGGGGCTGCAGCTTCAGCACCAGCTCCTCCAGCAGGCTGGCCTCACAGTTCTGGAAGATCTGCACCCGGCTCAGAGTAGACAGGTGTACAGACACAGCCACTTCTGCCCGCAACCGCTCAGGCAAGTGCTGTAGGATGGCTACCTCATTGGTCATCTTCTTGTTGATCTGTAGGTGCTGGTACCTTGGGGCAAAGGGGACACAGTTCTTCATCAGCCCCCTACATGCCTGCATCTATTCCTTCCATCAGGGCTCAGCTTAGTTTCAGCCAAGAGCAGGAGTCATGGGAATACCTGACAGTTGGCTGATGAATATCCTCAGCCCACAATCTGCTGGTCACAGATAGGTTTCAACCTCTTCTGTCTTACCTAGCTAAGGACTAAAAGCCTCTACCAGTTGACAATGAATAAGATACTCCTTACCTCCTGTCAGACTCTACCCTAGCCACCAGTCAGTGCTGTCTTGTGCCATCCTACTGAGGTTTACTTCAGTCACAAAGCCCTGTCTCTAAGGCCCTCTCCTCTCGCTCCCCAGCTTGGTGGAGTCCACAGTATGGATGACTATGACATAGGCAACCATCTTGTTGGCCATTTCCTGGGGGAATTGATCTTTTCAACTTACCCCTTCCAGGGCCTTCTGAGCCCTACCAGGCGGTGGCAGTTTCCATTTCCTGGCTTCAAGGTTGTCCTTTATACAGGAGCACCCCTCCCTATCAGTCTCCTACCCAGCGCCTCCGCCTAAGTCCAGATCCAGTTAGAGGAAGACATCCTTTTCCAAGCCCCGCCCAGTGAATTCCAGCCCCGCCCTAGTGAATGCCGTATCTTGACTGCCCTGCCTGGCTTCCCGGGCAGTAAGAACCCAGCCACCTTCCTCAGACTGTGTCAAATATAGCTCTCCTTGCCCAGGTCTTGGGCCCCAGCATCCTCACCAGTCAATAACGCGCCGCTCCAGCCGGCGGTTGACGTGCTGCAGCTTCATGTACCTCTTCACCAGCGCGTGGTCCGGGTAGAAGGCTGCGTCTGCAGTGTTCATGTTGTAGATGACGGAGCTCATGCTGCCCATGATGGTGGCGAAGCCCATGACGGCCAGCAGGAAGTCGCCCACCATGAACAGGTACTCCTCCTCCTGTGCCGGCAGCGGCGTGTCGCCCACGGTGGTCAGGATCAGCGTGGAGAAGTAGAAGCTGTAGAGGTACTGGCGCCGCAGGCGCTCAAAGCCAGGCTGCGCCGGGTCCGGGTACACCCAGGCGTCACGCCCAAAGCCCAGGTACCGGGACAGGGCAAAGTATAGGCAACTGTTCCAGTGGATAACGACAAAAATGTAAAGCATCAGCTTGGCAATGCGAAAGGCGTTTGGATAAGCTGTGCGGGTCTCTGTGCGGTCAAACGCCTCAAAGAGGCGGGGCACACGCAGAAAGCGGTTCAGCCTCAGTGTGGGTGTGTGCAGGCCCAGCTGCACATAGGCCACGTCGGTGGGCATCAGGGAAGCCAGGTCCAAGAAGAAGCTCCAGGTGCTCACATAACGACTTGAGATCCTACCCTTGTCCACCACCAGAATGCCCTGCTCCAAGAATCCTGTGGAGAGGGTGGGGCAGACAGGCTGAGTCAGCTGTGGGATGACAGGTTTGGGACTGGCAAGGTGTCTTCCTGCTTCAGTAATAAGGGTGCAGTGGGTAAACTAGTGTAGGACGGGGGACAGTCATGGAGACAGGGTGGAGGTGGGCATCACCCTGCTTCAGGGTTTCTGGGGAGAGCATAGGGATGTTGTCAAACCAAAACGGTAGGTGAAGGTGCTATCAGGGAGGGGAACACTTTCTTGTTAAGAGGTGGCTTATGGAACAAAGGCACATGCAACAAAGGGTTAGTCCTGGGCTCACTGACCTGTGTGGAAGTGCACCACTATGTCCAGTAAGTACAGTAGGTCACTCATGTAGTCCAGCACTAACCAGGCCACCAGATAACTGTGTTGCAAGTCGGGGAAGCAGGCTCTGCATGGTGGGGACAGAAGGATTGGCTTAGGGGCACCCTCGGTGTGAGGTGGTCTCTCCAAGCTACTCAGCACTCTGTCCTGGTCCCTCACATAGGAACTGCCCCTCTCCCTGGTCTCACTTTTTAGCCCTTATTCTCTGCTTGAGTCTCTTCCCTTAGCTCCCTGACAAACCTGCACACAATGATGATGAGGTTATACATTACTGGGAAGACCATCGTGTTCAGCCACCAGTAGTAGTAATCCCCAGATGGGTCCAGGATGGGCAGCGACTTCCTGTGGGCAAGAGGGAAGTCATGCTTCATTTATTCACCAGACATTCCATGTTGAGTTTATCATTGGTGGCACCAAGGGAAATCAGTCTCCATCCAGTGAGGTGGACAGATGACGCAGGGAACCCGGCTCTCTCACCTGGCCTTGGCAGGGGCTGGGGGGTTGGACTCTGTCGTCTTTACTTTGCTGTCCTGGCTCATGGTTCTGTGGCCTGGTGCCTGGGTGTGAGATATCTGGGGCCTCTGCCTGTAGGTGGCTTCAGGAGGTGGGGGCTACTGCCTGCCTGCTGGAAGAGCTGCCCTTGGTCTCGGGCTGCAACTCCTATGTCTTTGGTTCCTGTAGCTCTTAGCAACACAACCAGGGCCAGCCACTACTGAAGGGGCGGAGGCAGTGTGGCTCCAGCGCCCCGCCCTGTCTCCCAGGGCCTGGGCTTACACCTACCCGGCTAAACATCTCTAATAAGGTCCCTGGAGAAGATGGGGGTGCACACCTCAGAGGTCAGGCTGGGCCTTGTCTCTCCCCCATCCTAAGCTGAACTACATAGGCACCCTGTAAGTCAGGAGACCTGGGTGCCAATGTAGGCTCAGGTGCTCATTATATTTTACTTTGTGCAAGTTCTGGGCCTGAGCCTCACTATTTATTCATTTAACAACTATTTACTGAATGGCTCATTTGTGTTAGCTACTGAACTAATCTCCAGGGACAAAGAATGCCTGTCATACCAGATGTGAGCTCTGTTTGCACTATCTGCACCTTTATCTAAATTGCACCCTCTTACCTCATTCCTGCTGGATGATTGCAATGGGGCCGTTTTGTGGGGGCTTTGCCCCTATTCCCTTCCTGTCCCCTCTAGTACCTGATCCCACCAGCTTAGTCCATGAAGATCCTCAACTTCCTCCAATTTTCCATTTCTGTGAACATGCTTAAATTCTTCCATACCAAACAAACAAAAGACTGAAAAATTCTCCCTTGGCTTGACGTCCCTTTTACTACTGTCATGTTTCTCAGTCAACAAGTCATAATCAGAACACCTGCTATGTGCCAGGACAATATTGTGCTAAATTTTGGGGTTAAAAGATGAATGAAATATACTCCCTGACTTCCAGAATCTCACAGTCTGGTAGGGGAAATAAGTAGATAGGAAATTACACATCAGTCTGATGAGTACTCTATAAGGTGGATACACAAAGGGCTATTCTAGAACATAAGATGGCTCCCAACTGATCCTGGGTTCTGTAGGATGTATAGGAGTTAGTCAAATACAGAGATGGGTGGATGAAGAACACTAGAGGCAAAGTGCATAGAGTGAACAAAGGCAAAGAGACTTCAAATAGCATGGGTGACCAGAAGAACACTTATTGGTTTTTGCAGAGAATCTGAGGGGCTAGTGGTAAAGATAAGGTTTGAATGGTAGAAAAAGGACAGCTTTATCTTAAGGCAATGGAGAACTTGTGAAGCATTTTGCACAATTAAGTGATAAGGTCAGATATGTGTTTTGGAGAGTTGCATGGAAAAAACATCTATTGTCACCAACATTTTATTTTATTTTTTTGGAGTCCTCTTTTTCCATGGCTGCTGTGACACCATCATTTCTTTCTCTTTTTTTAACTTTCTTCTTAGATTCTTGCATAAGCCCCTCTACCCCTCTCTTCTGTGTTGGTGTTTTTAGGACTCTTTCATAGACTGCTTTCTCTTTCCATCCTCCTGACTCTTTCTGACCAGTCTTGGTCACTCACAGGATTTTCTTTCCCATTTAATAATTCCCAAGAACTCTCTCTGAGCTACCACTAATTGCTCGCTGGGTGATGTCCACATCTGTATATCTCACAGTCACTTTCATCCCATTGATTCTATAACAGAGCTCATTATCTTCTCCTATCTGCTTTTTCTCTTAAAATCCCTATCCCTGGCCTAGCAGCCAGAACATATAGCACTAGTCTTTACTATTATTACTATCATTATTATCACTGTATGACATTGTCGCAGTTTTAAAAAAGTCACAAATTCTTTGACACTTTCCCCTGTGACTATTTCAGTCAACAGAGTACAGCAGGAGTGAAGTTGTGTGACTTCTGAGGCTAGATTGTAAGGCTACGCAGCTTCCTTCTGGTTCTCTCAGAATGCTCGTTGTCTGGAAGGTCCCTCTCAGGATACTCCCTCTTGGAACCTAGCAGCTGCCCTGTGGGAAGCCCAAGCCACAAGGAGCATTCATGCCTCTGTATTCTGTTTGACAGTCCAAGCTGAGTTCACCCTTTGAGTTGTCTCAGTCCAATCATCAGACATACGAGTGAAGAAGCCTCCAGATGATTCCAGCCACCAGCTTCAAGTCACCCCAAGGCATGCAAGTTTCCTAGATGAGGTCCTAGACATCATAGAACAGAGGTACACCATTCCAGCTGTGTTTTGATTGAAATCCTAGAATCTGTGAGCATAATAAAATGGCAATTGTTTTATTCCACCAAGTTTGGCATGATTTGTTGCACAGCATAGTAACATACATATAGAAAAGTGCACATACAGCTTGATGACTTTCAGGAAGTGAACACACCCGTGTACCAGCATTCACCTCAGAAGTCCCTTCTGCCTCCTGCCAGTCAATGTTTTTCCAAAGGAAATCACTAACCTGACTTCTAATACCATAGTTCAGTTTTTCCTGGGTTTAGGCTTATATAAACTAAGCACCAGTTTTCCATCCTTTCCCTTATATTCTATTTATACTCATCTAATCATCAAGCCCTGGTCCTCTGCCTTTTAATGCCCATATGCCTATCTCTCTGCATCCTTACTTGGGCCTTATCAATCTGACCATGTATAAAATTCTTAATAGTTCTCTATTATTCCAAGGATAAAATCTAAACTCTTTAACATTGCCTACACAGCTCACTAGTACTTGACCTGTCTGTGCCTTCAGCCTCATCTCACAATGTTTCCCTTGCATGTTCTCTAGGTTCCAGATAAGGTGTGTTGATTGTGTTTCCGAGAGCACCTGCCGCAGGTTCATTCTTCCTTGACTTGGTATGTGCTGATCCTTTGGGTTGAAACTTCCATTTTTTTTTCTTTTTAAATACTTTTTATTTTGAATTAATTTTAGGCTTACAGAAAAGTTGCAAAAACAGTACAGAAAGTCCTTACCCATGTTCCCCTGTTATCGTCTTATATAACCAGAGTACAATGATCAAAACCAGGGAATTAACATTAGTGCAATGTTTTCAGTTAAACGACAGACTTTATCTGAAACTTCCATTTCTCTTAGTTTATCTGACTCTTGCTTGTCTCTCAAGACTCTGCTCAGACATTTCCTACATGGAAGACTTCCCTAAGCTCCCTCGCCCTTCTTTCCCCTCATCTTCTGTACTCACAAATCATGCTAACTGCCCCTCCTTGATGGCACTTATCACGGTATGTTGGAACTGTCTGGCTAAAGGGCTGAGGTCCTGGAGGGCAGAGACCGGTTCTAATAGATCTGGAATCCTGCCTGACATGGAGGTGCATATTCCATGTTCGTTAAATGACTGAACAAACAAGTGTCCGAGGGATTACTGGGAAGCAGGTGTTGGGGGAGCAAAGGAAGAGCCGTCATTGCCGGTACTATACAAGTCAAGTGCGCAGGTGGATCAAAACTGAGCTAACTGGTTCGCAGTCAGCCGTCTCCCGCTCAGCTTTTCCGCAGGCGGCTCCTACCTACTCACTCCTCCCTTCAGATCTATCCTTTCGTGCTATCCCCGCCTGTTTCCTCGCTCACCCGTCCACTCCAAGCACCGCCCGGGACCCGTGGCCCCGCCCCACCACAGCTAATTCCTCAACTCCATCTCTCCCCTAAGCCCCTTCCTCTGAGCGTTCTCTTCCTCTTAAAGTCACTCAGTAGGTCCCGCCTTCTGCCCCCTGGTTCGACCTTTCCTCTTCAGGCTCCGCCTTCTTCCCCCCCTCCCCGCTCCCCGGAGGTCTTTCCTTATGACACGCCGGAGTCCTCCAGAGGGGCGGGGTTTACAGACCGAGGGGGCGGAACCTGGGGGGGAAGAGGCGGTACTCCGGCTGAAGTATGTAGGCGACCCCGCCCCTGCGTTCGGCCGTTGCCAGGAAACAAGCATCGACGCTCGGCTTTGGCCTGGCTCAGCCAATGAGCTGGCACGCTACTGCCCAGCGGCGCGTCGCTGGGCGGTTACGTGTGGTGCGCGGGGGCGCGGGTTGCGTGTGGCGCGGGGCGGGGCGCGGCTGGTGCGCCTGAGGAGTGATGGCGGAGGCCTGAACTCACCTAGCGTCGCCGCTGCGATCGGCCTGGTCAGGGTCGGGTTCTGTGAGTGAGCAGTGAGTTTGGGCTGGAGGGCTGGGGCTCAGGGGCTGGGGAGCGACGGCACCGGGTTTGGTGACTGAACTGATTTTGAGTGGACAGGTGAGGAGCTGGCATGTGATGAGGGGCCGGGCGTGAGTTTCCAAGGTAGAGGCGCAGGGTGAGAGCCTCGGGATGAACGGGTAAGCCAGCAGCTGGGCTGTGTGAGAGGTTGGGGTGCCTTCTGAGGGACCAAGGGGAAGGCACCTGTGAACAAGGTTTACTGAGGGGCTCGGTCACCTGTGGGCAGGGGTGAGGGACAGCCCTGGGACCAGGGGGAAGGGGAAGGGCTAACGCGGGAGCGTGCAGGCCGGTGGGGAAGTGGTGAGGGAGCTAAGGACGGGGGGGTGGGAGGAAGGAATGTGGTTGTGAGGCTTGGATAAGGCCGAGAGGTTGGTTCTGGAGTCTCCTTCCATGGACTGTCCTGCCTAGTGAGAGCAGTAGTTTTAGACTGAGTAGGAGAGCTTGAGGGAAGTGTCGTGCACCTGGCTCTACATATTTTGGAGGACAAAAAGGCATCGCAGAGCGATAGTAACAGTGATAATGAAGATCGGTTTTGAGGCTTAGTCTTCAACATAGTGATCACCTTAATCCTGTTCCCTCAAGTTCCTCCTTGGGACAGCCAACTTGAAGATGGTCCCGAGGGCGTGGAGGATTTTTGACTATTAGTATGTGTTCTCTACATCTTCTGGGTAACTTTCCGCCGCTGCCGCTCCTCACCTATGCTGAACTGTGGGCCCCTGATGGTTGGCATCCATATTGAACTAACTAATTTCAGTCACCAATTCTACTTGCATGGAAGTCACGTGGTTCCTTACATAAAACACTATATTTAGGCTCCCAAAGAGGATAGTTTTTGTCATTTTCTTACAGTTAAAAAGAACAAACAAAAAGCCCAAAACTATGGAGGTAAATTTATGTGCATAACTGCTCACATTTAAAACAATACATGTTTGATGAGTTGATT